TTTTTGTAATGTACCTATAATATTGTTTAAACCTAAGTAAACTCCAATGTTCACCGAAGAATGGCTTCTTATTGAAAAGGCCCCTATTTTCAAGAATCTACAAACTATAATCCTAAGCTCCAACAATTACAATAGAATAGTATAAATGATGTAAGATGGCCCGGTTCCCACTACGCCGGACCGGCAAATTTTCCGGGAACCGGATGCCGGACAGTGTTCACATTACGCTGATGCCGGATCCCACAAGAAAGTCAAGTCAGTCTACTTTCATCAAAATATGCGAGCCGCATGACACGAAGGGAGTACTTGACCGATGACGGACAAACTCGTTCACACTGCTTCGGTCCGGTGATTCTGGCGGCAGTTGACATCTATATACACCACTACATTTTTATCACCGAAAAAATTTTAACAGGTTATGTAGAAATGTGTGAAAAATTGAATTAGTGTTATTATTACTTACTTAGACCATTGTAATGCAACATTTCAAGTAATTTTGAGTTCTAATAAGTGTAAATCTTACGTAAATAGTTCTAGCGACGCGTGTGTCCATAAATTACCAATTTTGGGATGAAATTTTGAGTAACTTTATTTAACTTTTTTTTGCATTAATAGGATCAGTATCAATAACTCATTACCCAGATTTTTTTTTCGGTGATAAAAATGTAGTGGTGTATATCTCTATGGTCAAATCTTACAAGATCCTATTTTATCTCTGACCTTGGCAATATTCTCGAAGCACTTCCTAAGATGCGGCTGCACCGCGCGCGGGTTGCGCGACTGAGACAGTATTTCGAGCAGCTCGTCGTCGCTCAGGAAGAAGAAACGAGGGAAACGCAGCCGTTTTAATTCCATGTACCTGGTTATAATAGAAGACATTTATTCTGTATGGTGGTTTCGTATAATGAAACTTGTGTATCCCAACTAATATTATAAATGCGAAAGTAACTCTGTCTGTCTGTCTGTCTGTCTGTCTGTCTGTCTGTCTGTTACGCTTTCCCGCTTAAACCTCGCAACCGATTTTGATGAAATTTGGCATAGAGATAGTTTGAGTCCCGGGAAAGAACATAGGATAGTTTTTATCCCGGTTTTTGAAACAGGGACGCGCGCGATAAAGTTTTTCTGTGACAGACAAAATTCCACGCGGGCGAAGCCGCGGGCGGAAAGCTAGTTTTAAATAACTTGAAAAACCTAAGGTGAAAATTGAACTCACGAATTGCCGAAATGTGACTCTACGGCCCAGAACACACGGTGAAACGCAATTGCAACGAAACTGCAACTTCTAGTTACTTTTGAGTTGCATCTAAGTTTCTGCCATAGATTCCGTTGAGTGACCACACATGACGCGACCAGTTTGAAACCGGTTTGAACTGACTAGAAGTTGCAGTTTCGTTGCAATTGCGTTTCACCGTGTGTTCTGGGCCTAACGCTGGAAAATAGTATATATGAAACTTCTGTGATCATTATCAGGTCATTTATTATTATATTAGTCTCCACGGCAGGAAGCACGACCCTCTCTAATTTACCAGAAGCAAATGGATGATTTGGGCTTTACTCCCCACGTTGGCCAGACGGGTTGGGAAGTTTGATATTCGCTTTTAATCTCCCCTTTTATATCCAGTTTTACTTTTATAGTGGTCCTGTTTTACTCTGCTAGGAACCTAGAAGTTTCCTGTATTCATAGCTATTGAAAATAAATATAACCCAGAGCCCAGTGGCGGATTTACCAGCAGGCTGAGTAGGCTAAAGCCTAGGGCGGCAAATTTAGTTTTTGGTCCATTTGATACATCCGTTAGCCGTCCAGCTTTTTAACTACATTCAGTAAGCTTAACAAGTAGACTCCTATATCTAATCTAAGGCAAACATAAAGGCTGATAAACTTCGAACTCACTCCGCCAATCCTCTCGCTACCACTGCCAGCAGATGTCGCGCTTCAACCAAACTGTCTAGAAGCCGGCTGTCCGGGCAGATCAACATTAACTGGAACAAATTCATTATGCAATAAACTACATCAAGACGATTCTGTAATTTAAAACTAAAATTGTTTTAGAACCACAACACAGGAAAATACGATAAAAAAAGTGTGAACCATTATACATTTTGCCCAGTTAAGTAATCACGAAATATGCACATCAAATTAAGTCTGTGACTTAATCATATCTTACGGGGAACTGATAGGAACTAAAATGAAGCTCATTCAATAACCGACCTTAGGGCAAGCAGCAGCAGTGCCCATTATCCGTCGCCATATCCTCTCCATGGTGCCGTATTTCTTGGCTTCAAGTGGCAGTTGGCGTGAGATGTCTTCTGACGTGAAAATAGGCTCCAGGTACATCCATTCCCTGGATGTGAAACGTATGGTGAATACCGTTGGGTGTTACTTACAGCACCATCTTTTCGCAAGCTGAGTAAAGTAGTACGAGTAGGTACCTACTATAGAATGGGAATACATCACACATAGACCATTGCAAATCAAAATAAATAGATATGATTCTAGTGTGAAGAACTTTTTACTTGCGAATTGCTACATGTTTGGATGCGAACACCAGACCAAGCCCGTTAAAAGCCAAGGGACAGAATCTTACTTGCTAATGAGGGCTATCGTTTTTATACTTAACAGTTGGCACCCCTGGCGATTGACAGGACCTTACTCTACAGTGGCGCCATCTTGACGAGTGCAAATGCGATAGTCCTCCTACCACTTTCGCGCTCACCAGTTGGTGCCACTGTCTTCGCTACTAGCAAGTGACAGGACCTTACTCTACAGTGGCGCTAACTGGTGAGCGCTAAAACGATAGCCCTCATTATGGCGTCGACTGATAGTCTCAAATAAAGCGTCATCACCAAGCAGTAGGACCAACCTTTTAAGGCTTCCACAGACCAAAGGTGCGGGTCAGTTGCAGCGCGGCTGAGGCACACTGAAAGCAGCGCAGTTTCAAAGCAGTTGCAACGCGGGCGGGTGTCAAAAATTTAAATATTCGAAAACCGCTTTCAACGCGCTGCTACCGCCCTGCGTCCGGTGTGTCATGCTAATATGGCCGCCACTGGTCTGCTCAAACCTTTACTGTAATTTCTAAAGGTGCTCTCTGTCCTCAAACCTGAAATATCGCGCGGCAGATCATCCATCTATAAAGAAGAAAAGGACTCACTTCTGGCACTCGATCCACTCGTCCACGACTTTTTGCGTCAAACGTAGTTTTTCGTCCCACTCTGTGATGCGCAGTTCGAAGGCTGCCTTGAAGGGACTGAAGCCAAGCTGCTGCGTGGCCAGAAGATGCTCGTCTAATAGCTGGAGTGTCTCGTCTGCTATCTTCATTATGAATGTACCTGTGTGGGGAGAATGTTTTGAATAAATTAAGGCTGAGTTGCACCACCTAACTTTGACAATAACCGGTGTTTTTGTATGGAGTTTGACAGATTTTTGACGTTTGTTAAAGTTAAAGTAAGATGGTGCAACCCAGGCTAAGGTTTGTGGAGCAACAATGTTGTAAAATTATCCTGCTATTAGTAGCGAGTGGCCACCATCGGTGGTGTCTCGCAAGTATTAAGTCGCGAGTGACATACTGTCACGGCGACAAGTCACCCGTACGTGTGCGCTTTAATTAAACGCTGCGATGTCATTAGCTGGTGTGGAAATCACGTTGCTATTGTACAACTAAAGTCCGGTTGCCGAGCAGATAGAATTTCGTACAATGACCCCTAGCTATCCATCCTTATCATCATCATCATTTCAGCCATAGGACGTCCATCGCTCGCGCGTAATTATATTGCTGTCGCGACTGTCGTGCGACGGGCGGCCGCAGTGAGTGTGCGATAAGGATGGGTAGCTTGGGTTAATTGTACGAAATTCCATGTGCTCGGCGACCGGACTTTAGCAACTGGTTGCTAAGATCTATAATACGCTAATCTATAATACAAAGCAGCGTTCATGCGGGCACCTGCTTTGTGTGTGGGCTCGCGCAATTTCAGCCCTGAAAGGTACACTCACCAGTGTTCTTGTAGGGCGCAATCTCCATGGCCTTAAGACACACGTGACGTCAGCTGTCACCACTCACCAATGTTCTTGTAGGGCGTGATCTCCATGGCCTTAAGACACACGTGACGTCAGCTGTCACCACTCAATGGCCTTAAGACACACGTGACGTCAGCTGTCACCACTCACCAATGTTCTTGTAGGGCGTGATCTCCATGGCCTTAAGACACACGTGACGTCAGCTGTCACCACTCAATGGCCTTAAGACACACGTGACGTCAGCTGTCACCACTCACCTCGCTGGAGACACTGTGACATCAGCTGTCACCACTCAATGGCCTTAAGACACACGTGACGTCAACTGTCACCACTCACCAGTTTTCTTGTAGGGCGCGATCTCCATGGCCTTAAGACACTCTTGACGTCAGCTGTCACCACTCACCAGGTTTTCTTATAGGGCGCGATATCCATGACCTTAAGACACTCTTGACGTCAACTGTCACCACTCACCAGTGTTCTTGTAGGGCGCGATCTCCATGGCCTTGTTGGCCCAGTCGCCCTGCATCTTGTCCAGAGACTGCTCGATGACGTATTCATTGCTGGCCAGCTCGCATGCCTCGCTGGAGACACTGTGACGTCAGCTGTCACAACTCAATGGCCTTAAGACACACGTGACGTCAGCGGTCACCACTCACCAGTGTTCTTATAGGGCGCGATCTCCATAGCCTTGTTAGCCCAGTCACCCTGCATCTTGTCCAGGGACTGCTCGATGACATATTCCTTGCTGGCCAGCTCGCATGCCTCGCTGGAGACACTGTGACGTCAGCTGTCACCACTCAATGGCCTTAAGACACACGTGACGTCAGCTGTCACCACTCACCAGTGTTCTTGTAGGGCGCGATCTCCATGGCCTTGTTAGCCCAGTCGCCCTGCATCTTGTCCAGGGACTGCTCGATGACGTATTCCTTGCTGGCCAGTTCGCATGCCTCGCTGGAGACACTGTGACATCAGCTGTCACCACTCAATGGCCTTAAGACACACGTGACGTCAACTGTCACCACTCACCAGTGTTCTTGTAGGGCGCGATCTCCATGGCCTTGTTGGCCCAGTCGCCCTGCATCTTGTCCAGGGACTGCTCGATGACGTATTCCTTGCTGGCCAGCTCGCATGCCTCGCTGGAGACACTGTGACATCAGCTGTCACCACTCAATAGCCTTAAGACGCACGTGACGTCAGCTGTCACCACTCACCAGTGTTCTTGTAGGGCGCGATCTCCATAGCCTTGTTGGCCCAGTCGCCCTGCATCTTGTCCAGGGACTGCTCGATGACATATTCTTTACTGGCCAGTTCCCCAATCTCGGCGATCAGCTCGCCGTGGGCAGCCATGCCTTGCTTCAGACACATCGTGAAGGTTTGCTTCTCGTTCATCGTCACGGTTATACCTGGAGAAAGTAAGAGGTATACCCATCACTAATATTCATAATCAACAAGACTTTTAGGCCTGGTTCAGACACAGCGATATCGAGCAATATCTGGGTAGTTCTCACTTCTCGTACACTTGCAATTAACCGCAAGATTACCGCTTCAGTCCCTCGACAATGAAAACCAAGCGGTTATCGCGCGTTGTTGAACTAGACCTTAATCTCCACTGCAGAAGGTCCGTCCTTAGTTCTTCCACCGTCTCTAATTTATAAGAGGCAAATAAAGGATTTAGCATACACTCCCCACACTGGCTAAGAGAAAAATATTCAAGCAAATTATAAAGGCCTAAATGTTTATCTTTTATCCTAGGCGCAGACCACCGAGTTTTACTTGGCCGATAGTTGGACCCGATTCTAATTTGTATGAAGAATCGGCCGATACCAAATCGGTGTAATGTGCGCACTTTCATACATCTTCATACTGATCAAAAGCCCGACCCAACTATCGGCCAACTAAAAATCTATGGTCTGCGCCTAGGCTTAATCGCCTCTTACGACATTCATGGGAAGATTGTGGTTGCTCCCATGCTAATCTGCCGTAACTACGTAGCATACGTTGACGTATCTACTGTAAATGAAAGTTTCTTACCAGCTTTCTCCATGAACTCATTCCAATGTCGCTCCTTCATACCCGGATTTCTGACCGCTTGAATGACAGGTATTAGAGGTCTGAATTCGTCGATGTCATCCTGTAATTAAAAAACAAAAATATATTAATAAAAATATCTAGATCTATCTAGATTAGTATCATAGGGTGATAGGGCCCAAAAGATAAGGAGACATGTAAAGTTCCCCATAAGGGCTACCTTTTCTATTTTATTATTTACAATATTTTGACGTTCATAAATGCCACTTATGGTCTAAACTGAATAAATGTTTTTGATTTTTGATTTTTTTTTTGAGCTCATGAGTTAGTACTATCAGGCCTGTTCATCTCCGCGATTTTACATCGAAAACAAAACGGTCATTCTCACGATTAGGTGTTCTCAGCCTAATTACCATATTATTTTTGAAATTTGGCTTAATTGACTAAAACGCATTTAAATATAAAACACATGAAAATTACGAATTTAACAGTCGTAAAGGCGTCAAATTATTCAAAGCGGTTTTTGCGTAAATGAGACCCAAAAATTTTATGGTCACGGTAATTAGATAAGGCTAATACTTAATCTAACGGTAATTAGAAAATATATGTAAAATAGCAAAAAAAACAACATCTTCCATTGATAAATTTGTACACAAATATATAGCGTCATATAAAAGGCTGTAGGTACTCATAATAACCCTTTGCAAAAAGAAAAACACTAATTTCTATTATTTATTGTATCATGATATTTTCAGTATACTGAAAGAATCGAGGCTATAACAGGAACACTTAATTTCAGCAATAAGGGGCTATGTGTCACAAATGAGAGCATTTAGCATAATGGATCAGGAGGTCTCACAAATTTGACTTTTCGGATATGCATATATCGAAAAATGTATTAACGATATTAGTGTTTTTTCCCCTTTTTAATCTATCTGTGATCAGCCATCACCCATTATCAGATAAAATTGAATTTGTAATAATGACAGTTCCAGCTCTGCATATTTTGTCACCACGATTCTTTTACAATAAGTTTTCAGATTAATGCTATTCGCTTTCTCCTGAGCCTGAATGCAGAATTCTCAGAATTTAGAAGGGATGCAGCAAATAGATTTCATGACGGTCTAGTCTTTGTTTGTAAGCTTTACAGGAATTTTCTACATCCTCTTTGACGTTTGGTATCACTTAAGTGGACTTTGTAAACCGGTCGATGCCATATGTCTACATGGGTCTTAGTATGTATTTGTATTTAGTTTGTTCTCCAAGCTTCTTCTGCCCGGTATCCATTGCATATCACGAAGTTTTTTTCTATGCATGCATAACAAAGCAGGTAGGATGCAGTCTAGGATGGTACAAAGTGCCTAAACACTCTCGTCTTGAAAAGGCCCATTGTCTGTTCATTTGTTTCCACAAGAACAAAATGTTCTTAATATGATCACGCCAGGTAAATGTTACTGTTGGACAATCTCATCTTCTTAGGGCAAGGATAGATTTTAATGGTATTATATTAGAATTAATTAATGATTTAACATGTTAATATCAATGATATTAATAGTAAAAAAATTATATCTTGTACGAGACATGTTTCACGCAGGGGTGACATCTCCTGGCCATCAGGAAGCCCCGATTTCACTCCAGCTAACTTCTTTTTGTGGGGTTACCTTAGGGGTTACCTTACCTCTAAAATCCAACAACCATGCAGCAACTGAAGCTGAACATTCGTCATGAAATCGAATCTATTTCAAGGTAACTCTAACGAAAGCTTTTCAAAATGTTGATGTTAGATTGGAAGAAAAATCCGTAAAGTTGTTATGCGAAAGTCTAGGTATTTTATAATCATACTTATTCAATCGTGAGTGCAATTTGTAGGTAATAACTTCATACAACGGTGATTATAAATATATGGTAATTAGTACATGGAAATTAGAAAACGATAGTTTTTCTTCAAAATTTCCAAAATCTGCAGGGTATGCAAATACTGTCCTACTATAACGTATGGAGGCCAAAGTGCTGATTCTATTTAAATCAACAACGGGGAACTACCTTCAAAAATCTAGTTTAAAAATAAGGACATGGTAAATAGAAAAATTGAAAACCAAAGATATGGTAATTATACTCTTACGCAATTCATCGACGGTACGCCAACGCAATAGACGTCTACTTGCTTACAGGTCATAGAACTAACTAAGGGCTCGCGCCGCGCGCGTAAATGATGTGTCAAATATTATTATTTAGGCTTGTGTGCCCAAAAACAAAAAACGTCACGGGAATTAGGATTTTCGCTCGGACAAGCAGTTTTTTAATTCTAATTATTTACAGAATGGTTCTATTGAATAGATATTTTGCTATGTTTAAGACAATCTTTTATACTCTTTAAAATGTTAAATGGAGTAAACCAAATCTTTACGACATAAAAATTACAGCCAACTTTTAACATTAAGTCGGTGTGCGGACGCGTAACGGTAATTAGAGAACAGAGGTTCATGAAATTAATTTAGTCACAAATACTTAAAATAGAGGCCTATGATTTAATGCACAACTGGATAGGGTTGTTAAGTAACATATAAAAATACTTGCATGTCTCTAATTTGTCATTTTTAACGATTTATCAGCCCGGACACGCAAAAACTAGGTCATCTGAGAATGGCCGAAAACACGCACGATGGCCCACCTACAGGATACTATTCCACAAGGCCTCACATACGAGCGAACATTGACTCACGCACGCGTATTCTTGTGTATGATGGAAGAAAATAAAGAAAATGGTGTACTAAATGTACTAAATACTGTGCAGTATTTAACTGCCTAAATAATAATAAAAACACAGAATGTACTTTTTTAAGTTGCCTCAAGACACTGAGAGGTAAATAAGTAGTTAATATTATTCATGATAATTCATGCTAAATCATGTATTTCCTCCGCCATTTTCCGCAGTTTGGTAAAACTTCTATACGTAGTACTTATTATTATTCTGTGGTACTATCAACAATCACCTTGAAATCATCTTGGGGCGTGCACTTGCGCACAGTGCGCCTATCCCGTACACAGAGTTGGGAATTCCCCAGCATATTGGACGCGTTCAGCAAAGTAAACATTAAGTACATAATATAAGGAAAAATTGTTACTAATCCCTACTAACAAACTATGGATGAAAGTCTGAAATAAATTATTTATTATTATTATATTATATTATTAATACCGCGTAAACTTCTAGATGGCTGTAGTGTTTTGATCTTGATGAAATTGTGTAGGTACTAACTACTAAGCACATTTTTAAGCCCGTCACAGACTTAGCTATAATATATATTAATATTTTTATAGCTAGGCATATTACTATACATTTTCTATACTAATTTTCGAGAGACCACACACTCAGCTATAAATATATTTCTGTGACTATATGGTGTGCTATAAAAATATTAATATATTATAGCTAAGTCTGTGGCGGGCTTTAATCTTATTTACGATTTGATTAGGAGTATGCGGAAGCATTTTGGGGCCCCTCTGTTAGTCCGCCACTGGTCCACTCACCCGTATAGTGGTGGCTACTTGCTGCACTTTGGGCATGTCTGCGAATGTGCGCACGCACTTGACGATCGTCTTGTAGTATTCGTTGATGAGAGGCTCGATTGAGTCCGCGTCTACATACATCAGCGGGTTGTCGAACCACACTTCGCGCGCTTTCAGGAAATCTGCACACAAATATAAGTTTATTTGCTTAGCTGATTATACGTCAATCAGAGATATAGCGCACTAGCGGCCGCTCGCGACTACGTACGCGTGAATCCCGTTTTTGTCGCTAATTCCCGTTCTCGTGGGAATTTCGGGAATTCCTTTCTTAGTGCACCTCTACGGTACCTAAGCTACGTCCCTTCCAAATTTCAAGTGCCTACGTTTAGCCGTTTAGGCTGTGCGTTGATCTGTCAGTCAGTCAGTCAGTTTCTCCTTTTATATATTTAGATAATGGAGTACATTTTATTAGATGATTGGTGGCTTTGAAAGTCTGCCCTACAATGATTGAATCCAGTTTTGACAGCTCATAAAAAGTACGACAATTCAATCAATTGTAGTGTCAAGTGTTCTATTCACTTTATTGTAACAAAAAAGCAAGTTTCAGGCCTGAAGTCGTGCACAAAAAATCTATACACTAGCCCTTATTAATACAAGTTACACCTTAGTTGAACTCTGGCTTAAGTTGTCATTTAGTATGGAAATTACATTTTAATCCAATGTTCAATGGGGGTAGGCGAATCGCGTTTGACAGTTCGAACCGAATGATAGAATTAACCACTCTATTCACTTCAATGCCACAAAATATTTGATTCTTACCTGAAGCCGTGACCCAAAGGTTCCTGTACGGTTCGAACTCCTTCACCAGGCGGTTGAGATCCGTAAACGGTATCACGGGCTGCCCGAACAGCTTCTGACGCTGATTTAAGATACGGCCCCATTCCTGAGAATCCTTCATCCCTTTCCACGCCTTCTTAATGTCGTTGGCTATCTCATGGACCTGCAAAGAAACGGAACATAAATACATATAGGTGCCTTCAAATTAGAAGCGTGAGGAAGCGCTGCCGTGGCGCAGTTGCAGCGTCACTACCATTCGCGTATGTCACGGTAGTGGCGCTACAGATATTGTATGAACACTAAACGGGACTATTCCCAGCTCCCGTTCCCACCGCTGCAACACCTGTGTAGCCAGGGTCTACAGCTTGACCGCCAATACCCAACCAGGGAAGGTCAACTTTGTCCCGGGGGAAAGTTAACTGTCATTGGACACTAGTAATGATGCGACAAGCGCGCCACAGTGGCGCCACTGCAGAACTTTTTCAAGCGCCCTTACAGTATTTTTCGTGGATAGGGTAGGAGCCGCTCGGTGTAACGACCATGTTGTAAAGGTCTCGGAAAGTAATGGATGCAAGCAGCGCAAATCCGGTTGTTATGAAAACTTTAGCCCTCCGCTAAAGTTTTGCGAACACAATAGTTTGCACTTTCATTGATTGTACCTACAATGTACAGACATCATAGCACATCTAGATAAACATTATAGTATAAATAAATAAATAAATAAATCCTATTTAGTTGAAATAGGTGCTATTTTGCAACAAAAATGTGCCTTCAGATATTTTGTCGATTTTACTTTAAAAAATGTAAGTCTCGCAAACCTTGGAGGAGGCCTTTGTCCAGCAGTGGACATTATTTGGCTGAAACGAACGATGATACACAATGCATACCTTGGCGAAGTCATTCTGCAGCGTCAAGGCCATGCACTGTGCGCTGTACATGTCGATCTTATCGAACATAGTCTGCTCGTCTATCTGGTGAAGCTTCCAGAACTTCTCCTGTTCTTCCTCCAGGAACTCGGTCGTTACGTCCACCTGGATAGCATTGCAAATCGAGCATTATGTATGTTGTGATGTGAAAAAACGTGAATCAAATATGATACAAGATTTGAGTATATATCATTAATCCTATGTATCTCTTCGTGGACTGGAAATTGAATAACTAAGGCTGGACCCGCTCCGCACAGCCAATCTGTATGAACTTCTAGGGAGCGTTTTAGAGTAATGCGGTCCAGAGGAACCCTAGCAGTTCATACAGATCGGCTGTGCGGATCGATCCGCGCCACTGACAGTCCGCGTGACACTAAAACCAGCCTAAAAGGTACTTCTTGAATCACTGCTTAGTCATGCGTTAAAACATAGCCAATAAACAAGCCACNCTGTTCTATATACATAACTGTACTAATAATGTAACATTCAATGATCCTCTGTTTCGGATGTGCAGAATTTATAATAAAAACGTAAAAAGCTTGGATATATTTCATCAAAGTTTATATTCATATCATAAGGTTATAAACAGCCTAACTTTGTAGCCTAGCATTGATGTGGGTAGGTGCATAATGATGGTTAAATTGTAATATCTCTGCATCGATATCCCTTTCTTTTAATTGTATCTATTCTATGTAAACATTGTGTGCAACATTTATAGGAATTCAATTTGAATGCAAAAAAACTAATGTTATTCTATAAAAATGTTTGAGATTGTATTCTGTTGTTGTACCTATAAATAAATAAATAAATAAACAGGAAAATGTAATAAGCGAGATCCTAATCATATTAATTTACAATCATCAGAAGACCATCTAACCTGTTTTGTTATGGACAGTGGCCATCCGATGGCTTCCCATAAAGCCTTGAAGTCATCGTTTTCTAATGGCATGAAGAAGGCATCCAGAACTTCATAATCCTGCAAAAATTGTTGTAACATAGGCTCTTGTTTTTTAATTTTATACACAGGTTAGGATGCGCTCTATAGAAAAATCTTATCGATGATTTTAGACGACAAATGACTTATCGCGTTAACTCGATAAAATGCCTCGATATAGATCGTTTCATCCATGAAGACGCGCCCTACCATTATTCCGCTAATGTTTGAGTGTTACCGACGCTAAATGATCCATGAGTGCACACGCACACTACAATAATGACGCTCGGATTGCTCGGATCAAACTCCTCGCACCCTGCGCGACCGAGACCAAAAATTGGTGGGGCGCGTCTTCGTGGATGTAACTTGGCGCATCCTAGGCTTCATCATCATCATCATTTCAGCCATAGGACGTCCACTGCTGAACATAGGCCTCCCCCAATGCTTTCCATGTTGATCGATTGGTACTGGTAGCGGCCTGCGTCTAGCGCTTCCCTGCTACCTTTACGATGTCGTCGGTCCACCTTGTAGGTGGACGTCCCACGCTGCGTTTTCCGGTACGCGGCCTCCATTCCAGAACCTTGCTGCCCCATCGGCCGTCAGTCCTGCGTACTATGTGCCCTGCCCATTGCCACTTCAGCTTGCTAATCCGTCGGGCTATGTAGTAGGGAATTTAGTGCAATGATTTGTATGGAGACCCCTCCACTTTGGTATAGAAGGCTCATTTTTGCAACAGTGGTTCTTTGGGTGCTCCTGAGTGGATTTCCGTCGGTAGACATCGGGAGCCCCCCCTGTGGTAGCAGGGGGAGGGGGGGCAAGTTTCCTTCCGCCGCGCTTCACTTT